GTTGAGGCCCCTGCTCCTTCTTAGCACTCTCACATGTGAGGTACACCAGTACAGAACCCACAGAGCTGGCAGTCAGCAGCATGGATTCCACAGTCCASTGAAATTAAGCAGGCAAATTCCTAAAAGACCAAATAACCTGGCTCTTCTTCATGCAGCAGTTTCATATATGGAACTTGACAACATACTCAGCATGAATCCTCTGCAAAGAAATAGMAAAAGGCTCAAAAGGGTACAATGTGAAGGCAAGGAGGCCTCAAATTTTGTATCTCATGGAGCTGCTCATTAAGTTGTCTGGATCTCAAGCTTAAGCAATGTAAAGCCCCAGGCATAGAATCTTATGAGGTGTTCTCCACAAATCATGGGTTGCTCTGTGACTGACACCCACTTGTCTTCAGAGCTAAAGAGAGGTAAAACCAGATAGGAGATACCACTCTAATACCGGGTACGGATGGGGAGCTGACCCAGTAATCAGCTCACAATGTCTGTGTACTCTCTATACTTGCATTTATCATTGTGTCCTTTGAACTAGCACTGGATCTGCCTTGCAGCCTTATTGCTAGAAGCTGAGCACAGAAACTGGACTACACTGTGCAGAGAGCAGCATTATGGAAGAGATCACAGAAGTTCCAAAGAACTCAAAAGTCCATAAAAATATTTTCAAACACAGCAATCATCTCTGGAGTCACTATAGAGTATACGACAAAGAAATGTCACAAGAGGCTAGTGAGGRATTGTGAAAACACACCCTATACAATTTCTCTCAACAGCAGTATCAGCAGCAGGTCAATGAGAGATCCTAGATTCAACTGACTTTGTAGTTTACTTCTTTGATGGCTGATCTGAGTTTCCAAACTAATACCTCAAGAAGCAATCTGAGGTGAATCTGTGACCTGCAGTGTCACTACAGACTCACTGGTCCACTCAATAAACGTGGTTTTCCTCCAGAGGCTTCTTTTTCCACATGTATAGCTGCTGCAGTTGGTCAGAGGACAGGAAGGAACACATCTTGGCCATTGTGCTACCATCCTGTTATTCCTGGTATCCCAGGTATGTCAGCAGCTGGTGTTTCAGGGATTGATGAAAGGATCCTTAAAGGGATTGAACATGATTGTCTTGTCCCTTTGCATCTCAGGGAAAAGAGCCAACACAGTGTCATTCTCATAGCAAAAGCTGCCATGGTCCACACATCAGTGAACATGACTTCTGGAAGACAGTGATGGTCTTCCTCCTGCACTGACAATATAGCCAGGATGTTTTTCTAAAAGTGCAGCCCTTGTTTATGTGAAAGGACCACTTCTTTTACATTGAGTAGGAACATGTCACATAGTCATCAGTGGAAAAGTCAATGGTGTAAAGAGATTAGTCCTCTAGAGGGACCATGAATTGAAAGTCTCTGACTCATGGTTGCAATATGCCTCATAGGAAAAAAAAAAAAGTAAGTCTTCTCTGGGAGGATAGGCAGCAGAGCCTGCGATGACACACCGTCAGTCAGCAGTAAATAGACAACATTCCATGTTCAGGTGCTCACCATTGGTAAGGTGCTGAAGGACAAAAGAGATCAAAAGAGCCACCCAAGATGACTGCTGGTCATTGCCATTGGACAGGATCCCCTCCCCATCCCACTTATATCCTTACAGTAAGTAGGTCCTCTATCCCTGCAAGTCCTGGCATTTACAGATTTCAATAGATGGCTGGCCATAAGAGAAAAGCAATAAAGCAGTGTCCATTGCATAGGAAACAGGGTGCTTTTCAACGTTGACAATTGTGAAGTTGGAGAGGACTCTGGTGGACACGTACCTGGTGCCAATGGTTACCTACCTTCCTGAACTGATCCTTCATCATTCCAAGCAGTGAATGACATTTTGGTTTTGGATTTCTCAAAATGTATTATTGGAAACATGATGTTCTATTTTCACATCTCTTTCAGGTTCAGCTAGTGGGTGGAAGGCAAGGGACACCCCACCTTGCTCTGTGTCCTYCTCCTCCCACCTCCTCATTACTCTCTTTAGGCCCCATATTCCTCAGCAGCCATATGTAAATTCTTTCCAGATAATAAGCTTAAATATCATTGTATTCATTTTGTTTTTTCCCTTTCTCCCAGGGATCACTCTTCCGCATTTCTTGCTTAGTAATATCTGAACATTTTCTTATCATATATTTTGTTATTCTTGTAATTCTTTAAAGTAACAGGGAAAAATCCATTTTTCATATGCTATCAGGACTGAAGCTAAAATCCAGAATAAATGGATTTTGAAGTCCTCATACTTCTTCTAAAAGTCCTCTATTATCTGATCCATTTGCTACTCTGACTTCAGGTCCACAAAATTTCTCACTCTACCTACAATGTCCTGTTCGGTATTTTTTAAAAAATATTTCATATCTGTTCTCATTACAGGTTCTCCAATGCCTTCTATGTGCCTATTTCTTTCCTCATTTCCTTTACTTTTTTGCTCTTTTGCTCAAGGAGGGTTTTCTGGCCATAATCTAGTATTGACTCTCTATCCCTACCAAGACTTTCTATCCCCCTTTTCCAATTTGGTTTTCTCCTTAGTACTTATCACTAGCTACATATATAACTTGTCATCTTTGTTATGTCTCCCTTCTAGAGTATATCTGCATGAAGTCTAGAATTTTWCTTTTGTTCCTGGCTTTATGCAAAGTATATAGAAGAGTTCCTAGGATATATTAGGAACTCAATAATTTTTACATCAAACAGTTTTATATTGGTATATACCTACACAAAATTTTATGCATTCTCTTTATTAAGTACATAGTGAATTGGACACAAACAATATAAGGAACTGTGTTTGTATGAGATGCACAAGATATTTTTGTAGTTGTGTTCAAATTGCAAAATAATCTTAAAGGGCACATAGGAATTTATCATGCATTCCTTGTAACAATATGAAAGGGCATTCAGAGCAAAGATAAAGATTTACAGAGATGTGAGATTATTGATGTGTTCAGGAAAGTGTGATTGAGGCAATAAGAGTAGCAGGAAATTAGATCACAAATATCTGCTAGGCAAAACTTGATAATGGGAAAGTAGGAAATTAAAAAACACTATCTTGAATCAAAAAACTACTTCATGGAACAAGTGAATCTGAACTCATATTACAGATAACCATTATAGTACTACAACCTCCTTCTTTCCTGTTATCATGTTCTAAATCAAACTTTGCTAAAGTACTCCTTGGAATCCATGGAACAAAAATTGGAAAGAAAATTTCTAATCATACTGACTTCTCAGAATTTAAATGGAATTTTAGGTACTTGAAACCACAAAATTAACATATCATAAAGGAACAGGTTTAAATAGTATTAAAGTGATCCACAATAGATTATCCCACTGCCTCATCTTCTAGTCTTCCATTGGGGAAACAAGGTAACATTTTACATTTTCTTTCTCTTATACCATGTACTTATGAAAAATATTTCAAAATTGATGACATCTTCTGCACAATAAAAATAAAAATATTTGTAAAGATGTTAATGCCAGTGTATTATAAATTGCTTCATAAATTTTCTTTTAATTAATATAAGGTTGTGATTCATCTTCTATGTTTTTAAATATAGTTAATATCTAGACACTGGGGATTTCATTGTGATTGTGTCTCATGAAGTGCTCAGGTTTTATTTTGAGACTAAGATACTAAGATACTAAGATACTAAGGTTTCTAGAAATCTTGCAACTGCTTACTTTGTTTATGTTTCCTGAACCTCCTTATCATCTAAAAATTAGAGAATAAAATATTTACACAGCGACATACATGGTTATTCTGAAAATCACAGATAAGATTATGAAAAATCTAGCACAGTGATTGCCATGTATCAGTTGCTTAATAACGACAGCTATTTGAAATTTTCTTCCATGTCAAATTAATTCTCATTAAGAAGTAATAGTTTCCATGTTTTAATTTGCTACATATAGGTAAGATATGACCTCTAAGTATAATAGATTAGAAAAATGTTAACTTCAGATAATGAATGAAAGGCAATAAAATATATCTGAAAAACTTAAAGCTTTGTTATTGTAAAATATCCTATGTATATTACATGGATGAAAATATGATTTTAATTTTTACAGAGTAAGTGAATATATTTTCAACATTATGTTGTTATTATTCAGTATAAATATGAGATGTTTTATGCCAAAGATTTGGAAACTATGGTAAAATTATAATATACAAATATCAAGGCAGATAATTGAGTTCCTATATGTATTCACCCTCTATATTCACATGATTGTTAATCACAAAAAATTTAGGTATAGCTTGGGTAAAAAAAAATATATGTTTTGTGAATTTTAAATATGCATATTATAAGGAGTAAAATATATCAAAATTACATTAGAATACCTTTATTTCTATTTTAACTCATCTGTAGGTGGTCAAAAGGTCTGTGGACTTATAGCCAAAGAATTAGAGGTCAATCTATCTGGAAAGTGATTTCAGAGATTATAACTAAGGTCACTTTTGTTAGATGTATTAAATGAGGCCTGGTGGAACTCAGGGGCTTGCTTAAGCTTCAGCAGTCAGAAGGAAGCCTGATTCCACTAGGGTATTATTCCCACCTGCAACTCTCTACAATTTGTAAGGGAACCTGGCTGCATGTCTTGGCTCACCAAAAAAAAAAAAAAAAAATGATATTAAAAGGAATTCTGGTTAAATTTTATCTTTATGATAATCATTCATCACAAAATGCCYATCAGTGAAGATTAATCCTATTAATTGACTATATCCATATTTTAGCAAGCATGACTTAAAATTATGCACTTTAGATGGGAAAAGTCTCTTTTGAAATAAACTATGATATTCATATCTGTAGTCATGAAATTATCAAAACTATTTCCTGTAGTTAACATTCATTGCTCTTTTCTCATCATTGAGTAGAAAGATAATAATAGATAAATTAGTAACAGACAACAGACGTCAATAAATAATATATAATCTCCAGAAGATAAAAATATATTCTGTATGTTTCTGCAGGACCAAGTAGCCATGAAGTTTTTCATCTTTGCCTGCCTGTTGGCTGTTGCTCTGGCAAAGCATGTAAGTATATGGGGATACAAGTTTTTTAAATTTAAATCTATAAAAAGAATGAAGTTTTTACTACATGAAAAGGATATGAACATTGGAAGTGATGAACAGAGACCAAGTGTGTGCCTTGTAATCTGTGATCATTGATAACATGTTCTGCCTACACAGAATATGAAGGTTAAAAATTATTCTACAAAGCGTCTTTGCTGTAATGTTGTAGAGGTTAAAAATATAAGAAGAAYAGGAAGAAGGAAGAAGGGATAACTTATCCTCCATGATATGTTGTAATATAGTTCAGAACTTTCTGGAAAAACCATTCTCACTTCTCATCATGTTTCTAAGGTTTAAGATAGCTCTATCCCAAAGCCAATTGTCAAAGAAATCCAAATTCCAATGAATTTACCCACAACACAGTGTTTTAAAATTTTATTGCCATTAGACAGCAGAGAAAGAGATTCACCTTGGCATTGCAGTCAATAAGTCATAAATTTGTGTTTGTTTTTTTTTAATTATGTAGGAGATAAAGCCCTGCTTCTCTAGTGAGGTAAAGCACTAATTATGAAGACAGATGCTGACAACTAATAGTACAAAAAAAGTCTCTGGTTTATCTCATTCCCAATAGTCATTTAATAATTGTGACATTAGTACAAAAATAATGATGAGCACTCCAGATTCTACAAATGCAATTCCAATCCTTCTGGAATAAGGACTCATGCCCATCTGCAACTGTATTTGGCATCAATTTCTGGATGTGTTTGTACCCACACATACATAACAGATACCCAAATTTCCTCAGGTGTCACCCAAAGAATTGGTTGTTCTCTTGATATGTATTTTATATAAAAATCAAAGATAAAAGAAAACAAATATATGCAGAGGACAATTAAAATTTTTCCTTCCATCTTTGTTGTTGACATTTGCAAAAATGTGTGATATGTTCTCACATAAAAACATTGAGAGTACAGAACAAGTTATTTTACTGGAAAGTAATGAGTTAATTATCCATGAGAGTAAAAGTTTGGCAATGTAGTCAAAGGTTAAGTATTTTATTCTGAATTATTGTATAATGGGTGTGAAATAATGCTTTTTTGAATAGCACCAAAAATCACAAATAAGGAATTAAAACTCATTATCAATTTCTTTTTCCAAGGAATCTGCCAGCATTGAGCAAGAAGTAAGTCATAACATCATATGTTAAATATATTTTAAAATAATTTATCATTTTATATGGCTGTAAAAATGGATGTCATTTATTATTTCAGAAGTGTAAGAAGGACAGAAATGTGATCTTCCAAGCAAATCAGGTAAAATTGATCTATTCATGCCTTTGTGATGATTACTTGAGATGTATTTTATGTCCATTATGAGTCATTTTTCCATTACCCATGTGAGCATTATTTTTTAATCTCTGTCAAATAGGTGATTTTTATTGTCTTAACTGCTGTGAAATAACATGAAAGATCTCAGAAAAACATATTTATATTTCAGTTGTGACCGTGTTTTCAAAGTGTCACCCATCTGAAAGAATTTTTTTACTTATTTTTTCAGTTGTAAATAGACACAATAACTTTATATTGTTTATTTATTTTTATGTGGTGTCGACGATCAAACCCAGAGCCTCACACGTGTGAGGCAAGCGCTCTACCACTGAACCACAACCCAGCCCCAAGGAATTCTTATTAATGGGCCCTCACTTTGCCTTCATTCTGAACTTTTTAAACTACCATTTTATATTTTCTAAGCATTACTTTATGCCAAAAAATGTTATTCAGGAATTATAGGAAATTAYAAATAAAGTCCTCTTTTATTTATAAATAAAGACCTCTTGAATCAGGACTTTAATTACTCCCAATTTTTTTAATGTCAGTAGGCATGCTACCTTGATTTCAAGTCTGATCATATGGTGTTGTATAAGTCTAGCTGAAATTACCATAGATGAAAATGTATTCAATGTCAAAGAAATTTGAAAACGAGGAAGGAAATTGGCACTTGCCCTTCCTATTTCAATGAACAATTCAATTGAAAAATATTAATTTGTCTATAAACCAGCTAACCCACTAAATACCTCCCCAATAAGTTTCCACAAAGAACAGAGATTAAGTCATTTTGTGACTTCAATTATTTACAGTTATTAAATATTTTTATTAAAATTTTCTCTTTTAAACTTAAGTAAATTTGTTTTTTAAACAGTGAATACAGCCCACAAAATTCCTYCCTTACAGTACTTACATTTCAATTCCCAACATGTTTCTTTCTAATTGAAATTTTTATATATAATAATACATACCCACAAAAAATGAATTAATTATTATGCTTCCCTCTGTGGTAGATGGATTTTATCTTTATATTCAGCAGACTACATTTAAAAACAATGATATAAAGATATGCTAATTCTTTTAAACCAGGAAGCAACAAGCAAGATAGATGAAATGGTAAGATGCTTATTTAATCTTAACATCATTAGATTGACAGCATTTATGCTTGATTTAAAGATTAATAGTATTCCCCTTTTACTAAACCAGAAACTAATACTCACAATGGAGATACTGCCTTTGAAATAACAGATAATGCTTGTTTCTCCCATTTGTGTCTCAAAGGTGATAACAATTAGTACCTATAAAACCTGATTTTAATGTTTTTATTTAAACCCTTCTGTTGAGGTTCCATATTAATTAATGATTAGGTAGATAATTAATATGGAACATACCTAAAGCAGATACTGATATTTGAGGAACACTGTTGAAGATTCCATTTCTTCTTCTTACCAATTTTTTWAATTTTTGTTTCTATTTTTGAAGGTATCATCTCACAGTTCATCTAGTGAGGTAAGATATTATTTCCTTTGAAATAAAAAAACTTTGCTGTCAGTAAATAGCAGCTTTCCAATATTGTTCTACCTAATGCAATGATCTCTAGCAAATACATATCTGAATATTAAGGGAAGAAATGGGAACAACTTGCAAATGACTCCAGACCATATTGGGGAGACTTAAATTGACTATGTTCAGAAGAAACATCATTTATTCTACCTTTTATATTATATATATCTCACTCCATAGGAAATTGAATTTTAAATCAAGTCTGAGCGAAATCAAGGGATTGTCTTTTGCCTGAAGCATAGCTTTACTTTGGAAACCTTAATGTGATTTAGAGGTGAGGTTCTCAAACAGGAGAGTGTTCCCTGATAAGTAGCATCAGCAGCACTTTCTAAAAAAAAACTAAGAGAAAAACAAAATCTTGGGCCCTATGGGAAAACTTACAGAATGAGAAACTCTGGATTGGGGATAAGCAATCTATTTTAGCAAGGCTTCCGGTGGTACGAATACACATTAACCTTTGAGAAACATTTTTTTAGAACATTAAACAGAGTTTGGGTTAGAAATTATGCAGATTGCCAATACCTGAAACACCTCTGTTGACAGAAATAGGTTACAAGGGAGTCTTGAAAGAGCTGGCAGCAGCATCATGGATCATGGCCTTGTGACCATAAGTAACACCTAAATTCTTCATAGTCAGTGTCTTAGGAAGCATACCTCAGTTTCACCAATTTAAGTCTCACTTTACCAAGTCGGGTCTATATTGTTTCTCTCTTTTATTTATTTTTTGGGGTTTTTTTTGGGGGGTGGCAGTGTCACTTGGCCTTACTCCATAATACACAAGAAATTCTCTAAATAATATAAAATTGTTAAACTTTTATTTACATTTTATTCAAAAAGTAAACATATTTAACTCATGCTGTTATTTTGGCAGAAAGGGAATGACAAAGAGACCAAGTTTTAATAAATATTTAATTTACTTAATTATTAATAAATTACTTAATATCTTACTATATACTAGTGGGTTGAACTCTGAATGTGCTTTGAATTTTCTTGAAAAAGTATTTAGTGATAACTACTGCTATGCCTTCAAGTAAAGCTACTTCTCATATTGTTCCTTTAGGAATCTGCTGACGTCACTGAAGTAAGTAATCACAATTCAATTMAATTAATATCATTAGTAATATACTTGCTTTTTATTTCTCTTACATGTGCTTTGTTTTTTAACAGAAAAAGGAGCAGTCTGAGGAAGAAAATGTCTACCTAAAACAGCTGGTAAGTTTT